GCAGCGTGCCAGCAAGAGGGTCGGGCTCACCGCGAAGGAGAAGGGCTACGTAGCGTCGCTGGTCACTCACGGGCAGTGGGCGCAAGCGAGGAAGGCGGGTACAGGCATGGTGGCATCGGATGCGTGTCTGCTATGTGGGGCGAGAGGCACGCTGCTGCACAGGCATTGCGGCTGCGGCGCTCGGCAGGAGGTGTTGACCGCGCCAGCCGCGGTGTCCTCCTGAGAGCAAGATCGGACATGAAGGAGGTTGAGCTGCTGCCGGAGAGGTGCCTGTGGCCAGCCGAGCCGGGGCTACGCAGGCCTGCGCCGCCCAGCAGCATATGCTGGCGAGGACAGCATGATGGAGTCGCGCCGCCAGGGGAGGGGTCGGCCTTCGACGTGGACTTAGACGGCTACGCGTCCGTGGGTTGGAGCCTGGTGGCGCTGAAGCCCGAAGGAGATGAGTGCCTCATGTCGGTTGCGGGACAGGTGTGTGAGCCGTGCGTGGACATCAACGGCTGGGAGTTCATGGTCCTGATCATGCTGATGCGGTTGGGGATGGCTCCCACCGTGGCGGTCGTGGACTCCGAGTATGTGTACAACGGGGTCATGGAGGCTGGACGTGCAGGCTCCACGTGCTACAGCCACACGTGGGCACATCTGTGGCGCGTGGCCTGGGGCCTTATCGACGACCTAGGAGGCGCGGGCGAGACTGGGGTGCGTGCACGGTGGGTGCGAGCACATCAGACACAGCAGCAGGTGCGCGAGGGGGCGGTCACGCACCGCGATTGGCTGGGCAAAAAGTACGCGGGCGTAGCAGCCAGGTCAGCAGCGGAGGCAGGCAGGATTGCGGCGTAGGGTCGTGCCGAGCTGCTGGCTGAGCGTAGCCTCGTGGATGGGGGTCGCTACGTGGTGTAGCGCCGTGGGCAGATGGGTCCAGGGCAGCGACGCGCGTCGCCGGAAGGCGAAGCCACAGGGGGCAGTGGAAGGCCGTGCAGCGAGGAAGGAGGACGCCAGCAACGCGTGCGACCTGCGCGGTGCTCCAGGGAAGCAGTGGCGCACCCGCTGCAGGTGGCAGGGTCGCCAGGGCGAGTGCCCGGGCTTCATGCTGGAGGAGGCAATGAAGGCGAACGGGGTCCTGAGGGCCCGAAGGCTGCCAGGCCATCGGCTCGTGAGGACCGAGCCGCAGTGGGCGCGCAGCTGGAGAGGAAGATGCCCCTGGTGGCGCGCCTCTGCTGCGGGGCCACTGGAGCGGCGCGTGCCAGCAGCTTCACCAGGCGCTGTGAGCCGCCGACTCGGGCAAGGCGGTGCTGGCGAGGCTAGAGGGCAAGTTGGCGCCCAAGGTGTCCAGCAGAGTGGCAGTCGAGGTGCGCGACCTCGTCGAGGGCAGCAGCGATGCCACTATGCGGATGTCCAGCCAGGCTGCCGTACGTAATCGCGGATGTGTGCCAGTTCAAGTTGAGGGGGCTACGGGCGCGGATGTGGTGGGCGCGGCTGGTCTGGCCTCGACGACGAGCGGGCCCGGCGCGGCGGCTCTCAGAGGGGTGGAAGAGCCGCCAGTGCGGCGCCACCAGGGGCACCCGCCGCGGTCTCAGCGACCTGCGCGCGGGGGCGAGGATGAAGCGGGAGCCGCAGCGCGGTGCGAGGCAAGGTCGCATTACTACTAGCGGCCTACCGCCGCGGCTGCGATGCTGCGGAGCCGTGTGGCGCTGCGCGGAGTCCCTCGGCGCCCCAGGACTGGCGCCTCGACCTGAGCTCGGTCAGCCAGAGGCGCGGGGAGCGCATGGCGTTGGTGGCGGCCGAGCCGAGGGTCGACCCGTGAGGGGCGGGGGCCATAGCGGGCGCTCCGAAAGAAATTCGCGAGGCCCCCTCCCCGAAGCGGCTCTCGCCGAGGCGAAGGCGTCGAACCCGCCCGAAGAGCTTGCCCTTTCATCTCGCGGTCGTCGTCGGCCAGAGGCTCGCGGTGCACGCGGCGCTGCATGCTGGGGCGGCGCTGGCGGCGCCGCAGAGGAGCGGCCCAGCGGCGCGCGGGCCTTCCACATCGACATGTGCGTCGGGCCTGGCGGACAGGAGTCGAGTGGATCGGCATCTGGGTCGCCGAGGAGCATTTCAGCGAGTTCGGCCAGACGTCCTACCTCCCCAGGCCTGGCCGCGGCGACGAGTGGGATGGACGCGGCGACGCTCAGAGCGGTGGAAGAGCCGCCAGAGCGGCGCAACCAGGCCCCCCCCCCCCCGCGGTCTTATCGACTTGCAGGCAGGGGCGAGGACGACGAGCTGTGTATCGGGCATCGCCAGCAGTGGCGCTCCAACCAGGGCGCAGGGGAGCATGGGCGGTTGAGTCCGTCGGTGGCTAGAACGCAAGTCCCAGCCCCCAGGAGCGCCCGCGAGGTTAACAGCGTGTGGGGCTGAGATCAGTCGCCAAGTTAATTGCTGGAGCCTGCCCCCGGGTGCACCCAAGGGGTAAACGGCGCGTGGGGCAGGCCCGCCTCGACGCGCATGCCTCGAGATGGAGCCACAGCTGCTCGTGGTGCGGTCTCGGGGGCGCCGAGGAGCCAGTTGGCGAGTGCTGCGCGACGCCATCCCTCCCCTGGCCGAGCTTCCGGGGGCAGCGGGCTGGACGCAGACGCTCCAAGAGGAGTGGAAGTGCCGCCAGTGCGGCGCCACCAGGGCGCCGCGGTTTCACCGACCCGCAGGCGGGGGCGATGACGATGCGACTGACGCTGCAGTGGCGACCGATGATGAGGTGAGAGGCAAGGTCGAGTCGCTCCTCGCGGCCTACCGCCGCGGCTGCGAGGCTGCGCAATCGAGCGGTGCGGCGCGAAGTCCCTCGACGCGGACGGACTGCAGCCGGCCCTGCCCAGGACTGGCATCTCGACCAGAGGTTCGGGGAGCGCGTGGCACGGGTGGCGTCCGAGCCGAGGGTCAACCCGTGTGGGGCGGGGGCCATGGCGGGCGTTCAGAAAAAAGGAACTCGCGAAGCCCCCGCCCCAAAGCGGCTCTCGCCGAGGCGGCGTCGTCGAAGCCGCGCGATGTGCTTGCCTTCGCACCTCGCGACCGCCGTCGGCCAGACGCTCGCTTTGCACGTGGCGCTGCATGCTGGTGTGGCGATGGAGGTGAGGCAGGCGAGCGGCTCTGCGGTGCGCAGGCCTCGCTGCTCGACGTGCGTGGCGGCCGCGGCGGGCATGGTCCGAGTGGGTCGACCTCGGGGGCGCCGAGGAGCTCTTCGGCGAGGTCGGCTCGATGTCGCCCTCCCCCTGGCCTGGCCTCGGAGGCTAGCAGGCGGGATGCGGCAGCTCCCAGAGGGGTGGAAGTGCCGCCAGAGCGGCGCCACAAGGGGCCCCTGCCGCGGTCTCACCGACCTGCAGGCGGGGGTGAGGATGACGCAGGCGTCGCCGCAGCGGCGACCGACGACGCGATGCTGAGCCGCGCCGTGCTCCTCGCGGGCTGCCGCCGCGGACGCGCCGCCGCGGGGCTGAGCGGCGCCGCTGGTCTGCGTACGTCCGGCACAGGGGGCCCCTGGGGGGCCGAGCCTGGTCGGGCTGCTGGATTCGTCTCGGGCACTGGCGGCGTCGCCCCAGGTGGTCTCCGCGGGGCCCGTTCCTGGGGTGCCGCCTGGCCCAAGGGCTTGGGGGTGAGTGCGGATGTCCAGCGCCCCGCGCTGTGGGGTGGTAGGTGCTCGCACTCGCGCGGCGTCGGGTCTCCTCGTCGCCTGGGGCCGTGCCTGTGCACGGCAGCGAGGCGAGACGGCGTGACCGTTCGCCTTCAGGCCGTGCGCGTCCTCCTCCTCCTCCTCCTCCTCCTCCTCCTCCCCTTCCTCCTCCTCCTCCTCCTCCTCCTCCTCCTCCTCCTCCTCCGCCTCCTCTCCCCTCCTCCTCGTCCCCCCCTTTTTCTCGTCCCTCGCCCCCCCCCCCCCCCTCCTCCTCTTCCCCTCCTCCTCCTCCTCCTCCTCCTCCTCCTCCTCCTCCTCCTCCTCCTCCTCCTCCTCCTCCTCCTCCCTCCTCCTCCTCCTCCTCCCCTCCTCCTCAAGTTCGCTCCCCTCCTCCTCGTCCCTCGTCCCTCCCCCCCCCCACCTCCCTCCTCCTCCTCCTCCTCCTCCTCCTCCCCTCCTCCTTCTCCTCCTCTTCCTCTCCTCCTCCTCCTCCTCTTCTCCACCTCCTCCTCCTCCTCCTCCTCCTCCTCCTCCTCCTCCTCCTCCTCCTCCTCCTCCTTTCCTTCACTCCTCTCCTTCCTCGCCCCGTTCCCTCCCCTTCCCCTTTGTGCCCTCCCCCCCTTGCTTGTTTGTGATATCCTCTTGCTGTGGGACCACCCTTTTGAACCGTTGTTTGATCGTTCCAGACCCCCGCGACGGCCCCCAGAGGCCGAAAATGGCCAGACACCTTCCGTCATAGGGCGCCTGGGAGGCTCGGTGGGGCTCAGGACCGAGAGGAATCGCTCCAGAGAGTTCCGAACCACTCTCAGAGCCCTCCGAAGCGCTGTGGAGCGGCCGCGGCCCCAATACGTCCTCCAGAGATCCGCCAGATCTCAGAGGTCACCCATGCGTCTTGGTCTGATCTTGTCCCCGTCCCGGCTCCGTATGAGAGGGGGGGGGAGGAGGAGGAGGAGGCGGAGGAGGAGGAGGAGGAGGAGGAGGAGGAGGAGGAGGAGGAGGAGGAGGAGGAGGGGCAGGGAGGGGCAGGGAGGGCCGCGCCGTGAGGAGGAGCAGGAGCAGGAAAAGCAGGAGCAGGAGGAAGACCAGCAGCGGCAGCAGCAGCAGCGGCAGCAGCAGCAGCAGGCGGAGGAGGAGGAGGAGGAGGAGGTGCAGGCAGAAGCAGCAGCGGGAGGGGCAAGAGCTGTAAGAGCACAGCGGCAGCAGCGACGGCAACGATGCCGATAGCCAGAGCAGCGATATCGACGACGACGCCGCTACGAGAGTGACCACAGCGATGACAGCGATAACGATAGCAACGAGACAAACCACAGCAACGATGAGGGCCACAACAGCAGCAGCAGCAGCAGCAGCAGGAGGGCCGTGTGCTTCCGAGGGGCGCGTCGCCGGCGTGGCGGCGCAGATCGCCGAGCGGCTGGAGGCGCGCGGCCGCCGCAGGGCGCCCGCCCCGGGCGACTGCAGGAGGCCCAGCGCCGCCGCGCCCCGAAGGCCGAGGCGCGGGGAGGGGGGGGGAGTCGACCACACCTAAGGGTGGCCCTGTGGTCTTTGGTGCGGGCCCATCGGGGGGGGGGCGGGGGGGGGGGCTGCGCTGGGGGCTGCCCAGCGGCGTGTGCGCGCTTGGCGGCGCAGCGAATCGCGCAGCTCCCCAAGGTGCCGGACTGGGCGCCGCGGTTCCTTCCGGGCGCCTGCGGCTGCGCGCTGCGCCCGCTCTCGCGAGTCAAAGCAGCGGGCTCCTCGGGGTTCCCCGATGGCCGAACGCGACGCGACGGCAGCGTCGAGCGCGCCGGTGTGTTGGTCCCCCCCTGCGGCCCCCGATGAGCCGCGCACCCAAGGGTCATTCTTACGGTAGGTTTGCGTCGTGTCGACCAGCGGCGACCCCAGCGCGGGCGTTCAAGGTTGAACGCCGGCGGCGGCCCAGAATCGATCGATGTTGAACGATCGGACGTTGCGGCAGCGGCCGATCGTTCAAGGTTGAACGATCACTGCGGTGTCAAAAACCAACGCTGGGGTCGGCACGACACGAACCTGCCGTACCCAGGGTCGCTCGTACGTGTAGCCGGGGGAGGAGGGCGGGAGCGGAAGCTCCAAGGCCCCCCAGACGGGGTCCGAGCAGGTGGGATTCGGTGGATCGCGCCGCACCTCCGATGCATCGGCGATGCGGCGATGTGGAACCCGTGCGGCCCCATGCCGATGGATCGCCGGCGTCGCCGAGGCATCGCTGATGCATCGGCGATGCATCAGCGATGCGGCGCAATCCTCCGACCCCGTCTACTCGCACCCCATCTAGGAGGCCTCTAGAAGCGGGAAGTAGGGAGGGGTCAGAAGAAGAAGAGATGTCGATGTCGCTGCTGTCCCGGTGTTTCGGAGGAGAAGCTATAAACATAAACTTTCGGCGCTCCGCGCGGATTTCTTGGATCGGCGCTGGGTCCCCCCTGGCGGCGCGTCCCCCGAGGAGGAGGAGGAGGAGAAGGTGGAGGAGGAGGAGGTCATATGAGGGACTGGTGCTGATACCGATACAGCCTTCTGTCGTCTTTCACATTCTTAGGCCTCCTGAGAGGCCCTCGTCGCCGTGGCTGGATTCGCTCGAGTACCCAGGAGAAGTCCGCGGAGGAGCAACATCGGTATACGTCGCGCCCTTCCCAAGGGAGGGAGGGGCCGAGAGCGGCGGAAGCGGGACGAGGGGGGGCGACGGAGCGAGCGGGGTGAGGGGTATCGTGGAGCAGGAGAAGGGGGAGGGGCAGGGAGGAGGGCAGGGAAGGGGTAGGAGCTGGGATGGATTCGGTAGCAAGTCATGGGAGCCTGGTCCACCCTCTCAATTCCGTCTTCGGCGTCGATTCGAGTCGATGGGCGTCTTGGAGTGGGTGAACTCGCGCCGATGTAGCGTCGGTTAGCGTCGGTTCACGCCGCTTTAGCGTCGGTTAGCGTCGCTTTAGCGTCGATTCGCCAGAGCCGACAACATGGTATGGCCCGTTCCACGAATGAGTGAAATGGCCTTCGGCAGCAGTGCCAAGGCCTTCACATCTGCTTCGGCAGATGCCGTGCCAACGGTACTCTTGCGCTGCAGGCACGCACACACTTTGCAAAACGCGCGCCCTGCGCGGATGACTGGCAGGTGCCTCACGAGATGGACTCGCTGAACACTGAGACCCGCCCATCTCGTCATCGTCCAGGGTCTCCGGAAAGAGGAGGGGGAGGAGGAGGAGGAGGAGGAGGAGGAGGAGGAGGAGGAGGAGGAGGAGGAGGAGGAGGGTAGGGGAGGAGGAGGAGGAGGACCGAGGAGGAAGAGGAAGAGGAGGAGGAGGAGGATCGAGGAGGAGGAGGAGGAGGAGGAGGAGGATCGAGGATACCGTGGGGATGGGCCGCGCGAAGCCCGCGCGTGGCTGCTCGGGTAAGCAGGCGGACTTCGCGGGCAGCAAGTATTGCGTGCGCCAATTCCAGGATCTTCTGAGGGGCGAATAGATGCGTCCCAGGTAGCATCGCGACTTGCGGCATGCCGTTGGGCCAGCAGTGGAAGCGACAGGATCGGACAGTATTTCAGAATACTAAAAGGCATTATTCGCCGACGAGAAGAGGGCATCGGAGAAGACGAGAGACCTATGTGGGAGCGAAATACGAAGGCAGATGATGGGGCAGCACGAGCGGCGAGTAAGCGCGAAGTACCGTGGATGTGCGCCAGCAGCGCCTCAAGGACCAGCACCCCTGCTACGCGGCCCAGCGCGCTGCCACCATTGCCCCGACCATGAGGACGGAGGCCGTCGCAGCCGTGGGCAGAAGCAAGCGAGATGGAAGATGCGAGCAAACACGCGCCATGAAGCATGCAGAGACAGCAATCTGAGCTGGATACCCATGGCGAGGACGACGAACGCGATCCGTGGCTTCATCAGAGTATGGATAGCAGTGATGCTGCCCCTCCCAGCTCAGGCACCATCCCCAAGCGCCGCGCCACCAAGCGCGGGGATGAGGACGAGGAGGGAGCGCCCACCACCGACGGCATCAATACTAGTGATTACGCTTACTACGACCAGCATCGAGGGCAGCGGGCACTACCTCGGCTGGGGCTTCGGCATCGGGGGCCCGTGGTTTGAGAAATTCGCAGTCGCTTTAAGATGCGGTCATGCAGACAAGCTGTTCGTGGATATCTGTTGGGCCCAGTGGTGCCGAGTTTTATTTGGACATGTGCACCTGAACAAGTGGAGCCGCTGCAGTGGTGGTATCCGCAGAGCTTGTTACTGCGATCCTCTTGTCTCTCAAACAGTTGAAATGGAGATCTGACGGCGCTGAGATGGTGTCCCTGTCTTGTTCCGGGTGTGAGACGGCGGTGGACCTTGCCATTGCGACTGGCCTACCTCTGGTCGCGCCGCAACAACCCGCGCAAGGGGCAACGATTGACATGATGCCCACAGCAGTTCATGCAGCGGGAAGGCCTTGCAATGTCGCAATGGGGCCTCGTGGCGCACGCGAGGAAATACAAGCGCATTGCTCCGCTTGCTCTTCGAGCGGCAGCTGGTTTCGAGTGCGGGCGCACATTTGTCATCCGTCAGCATGCTACGATAATCATGCGCGCCATAGCGCGCTCGACGGCGGGCAATAATTGTTTTTTTGGTTGTTCCTGAATTGGGGCACGGCGCCCAAACCGATGTGGAAGGTGCCCACGCCTCAGGCCAACGCCACTGGCAAAATCAGGCCCACCGACGCGGTACAACGGGCGGCGGTGGCAACATGAGCGGTGGACGCGAGAGGCAACCCCCAGATCAGCACGACGAGGTTTCAATCGGTCCGGTTTGCCGACGCCTTGACGGAAGAAAAACAACATCAATCGAGGGGTTCAAAGGCAGAGACCTCACGCTAAAAGAACGACGGCGAGTCCTCAACAGAGGCGAGACAGCATCTATACCATCTTATTGGGCCGCTTCGATGAGCGCACCGTGCTCAAGAGACGAGATGGAGGTGTCCCAAGTGTTTGGACAAAAGAAAGACACTGCACACGTGGGTCAAAGGTCAAGGCTCTGATGTGTTCCTGGGCGACCAAAATGCAACCAACATGATGTCAAGCGACGGCGCCCAGGGGATTGAATCACAGAGGTGGCTGAACATGACAAGCTTGCTGAAACGTGCGGGGAGCGTTGCCACATCCTGGGGGCTGCATAAGCGACAAGCACACTGACACGATCATGTGTGTCAAGTGTTCAGCAGTTACCAATACGTTCATCAATCTACTACAACTCTGTTCCGCCATCTGTGCTGGACAATGATGCAACCATTGGGAACTTGACGACGCCAGTCCAGTTGCTTTTTGACTTGGTGTGGGTTCTCCCTACTTGTATCTGTGGGTTTTCGTGGAGAGTCATGATGATGATGGTGATGATGATGATCGTGAGGATGATGATGATGATGATGATGATGATGCTGATGATGATGATGACGATGATGATGATGATGCTGATGATGATGCTGCTGATGATGATGATGATGCTGACAATGATAATGATGATGATGATGATGATGACAAGACTTCTGGTGATGATGATGATGCTGCTGATGATGATGATGATGCTGATGATGATGATGATGATGCGGATGAGGGTCACGGTGATGATAATGCCGGTGCTGACGATGCCGGCGATGATGATGACCATGGTGGTGGTGGTTAGGATTGCGATGACGATGACGATGCTGCTGATGGTGATAATGCTGTTGGTGATCAGAGTGTTGATGATGATGATGATTCAGATGCTGATGATGCTGATGATGTTGATGATGATGATGTTGCTGCTGCTGCTGATGCTGATGATGATGATGATGATTATGATGATGATGATGATGATGATGATGATGATGATGATGATGATGATGATGATGATGATGATGATGATGATGATGATGATGATGATGATTATTCTCATGATGTTGATGATCATGCTGATGTTGATGATCAGGATGCTGATGATGATGATGATGATGATGATGATGATGATGATGATGATGATGAGGAGGAGGGAGGAGGAGGAGGAGGAGGAGGAGGAGGAGGAGAGAGGAGGAGGAACGGGGGTGAGGAGCCTGAGGCAGAAGCCGATCCGCCCAACACAGGGATGTGTGGGAGCAGACGAGCTCACAAAACGCGTGCGCCTTGGAGAGGAGGGGCCGCTTCCTCCCCACTCCCGCGGCGACTGCCCGAGGCTCGCAGAGCGACCACCGAAGCGGAGGGCCTGGCCGCGGCTCGCGTCGCCGCGGCTCGCACCGCCGCGGGGCGGCGGCGGCGCAGGCCCCTGCCGCCAAGCTGGGGCCGGGGGGCCGGCCGAGCGGAGGGCGCCGCCTCCTCGCCCGCTCCACCTCCCCACCACCCCACCCCGTTTCCCGTTTTCGCTCCTCCTCCTCCTCCACCTCCTCCTCCTCTCTCCTCTCCTCCTTCTCCCTCCTCCTCCTCCTCCTCCTCCTCCTCCTCCTCCTCCCTCCTCATCCTCCTCCTCCTCCTCCTTCCTCCTCCTCCTCCTCCTCCTCCTCCTCCTCCTTCCTCCCTCCTCCTCCTCCTCCTCCTCCTCCTCCTCCTCCTCCCCCCTCCTCCTCCTCCTCATCCTCCTACCTCCTCCTCCTCCTCTCCTTCTCCTCCTCCTCCTCCTCCTCCTCCCCCTCCCCTCCTCCTCCTCCTCCTCCTCCTCCTCCTCCTCCTCCTCCTCCTCCTCCTCCTCTCCTCCTCCTCCTCCTCCTCTCCTCCTCCTCCTCCTCTCCTCCTCCTCCTCCCCTCCTCCTCCTCCTCCTCCTCCTCCTCCTCTCCTCCTCCTCCTCCTCCCCCTCCTCCTCCTCCTCCTCCTCCTCCTCCTCCTCCTCCTCCTCCTCCTCCTCCTCCTCCTCCTCTAGCCGCCCACGGGCCCCTCCTCTTCCCTCCCCTGGGGGAGGGCACGGTTCGAAGTTCCTAGATCACCCCGAGGGGCGCGAAGAGCATCACGCTCCGCGAGGCGCGGGGGCGCGGAAGATGACCGCGGGTCGCGCCTCGCGGGGCGCGGGGCGCGAAATTCGGTGACCCAGGACTCGAGGATCGATGTTTTCGGCGGCTTGGTGGCCACAGCTGCATCCCGCTCGGGCTTCTGGCCAGGGCGCGCCCAGGGACAGGTCCCGGGGGTGCAGCCAGGGGCCAGGGCTCGAGCGGAGCGGTGTCTTCCTTTTTTCCGTTGTGTTCCCGCTCTCCTCCGCTCGGTCTTCGCTTTGCCTTGGCACGAAACGACATCGAAACGTGTCCACGAGCTCGCCAAAACACCATTTCGCTCGAGCCCTGGGCGCAGCCGCCGACGCAGGCCCAGACCCCCTTCGCGTCTTGCAGCGACCGCGAAGGAGGGCTGCTTACCAAACGCTCGGCCACGGGAGGCCCTGCCAGACCCTGGGGCCGTCACAACGCCACAGGGAAGGGGGCTCGTTTGGATTTCGCCGAGTCGATTTCGACGGATTCCGATTCCGAGTCGATTCGGTTTTAGATTCCGATTTGGGTTCCGATTTTTTATCAATGACGCATTACCCTGCCGATTTCCGCCGATTCGACTCCTCTCGACTTGGCTGCCCGTTTCCGCCGATTCGCTGATTTTCGATCGCCGATTCGACTATGTTTCGATTCTGGGCTCTCCTGCACGGGGCGGTGGGGCGGGAACACCGGTCGCGGGGCGAAGGGGTCGAGGGCTATGGGGGTCGGCGCGGTGGCAGTGACACGGTTGGGGTCTGAGGATCGGGAAGGGCGCGCAGCGGGATGGGGAAGGGAGTCAGTATCGTTTAACCGATCCCCATCCCCACCTCCATCCCCTTCGAGACCCCCACCAAATTACCCCCCCAGTTGGGGATACGCCCTTCGAAACCAGAAGGATACGGCCCATATCCTCCATCTAGGGGGGTAAAGCGGCCATTGGGGCCTAGGCCACGCCGCTGGGGATGGGGATCGGTTCAACGATACTCGGGACGGGAGGAGGGGGCTGGGAGGATCAGGACCTGCAGGGACTGCAGAGGCTAGCCACGGACACGCCACTCGGGGCGGCGGCCGGCTGGCCAGCGGTGGACCAGGTCTTGGCCCGAAGCACTGCCCGTCGGACGCTTCGTCGCGGCAGCTCCCTCTCGTGGCCTGGCAGGGCCCCAGTCGTTGGCAATGGCCATGCCGAGGCCCGCGCGCCTGGGAGCCCTGGTGGCCCTCGCCGCCGCGGGGAGCGCCGCGGGCGGCACGGCGCCGCTGCTCGACGGTGGCCGGGGCCCGTTCTCCCTGCACAGGCCCGACCCGAGGCTGCTCGTCTGGGACCGCATCGTGGACTCCGCGGTCGGCAACGTGGATGGGCCTGTTTTCCGCCGCTGCCACCAGCAGTTGGGGGAGGAGGAGGAGGAGGAGGAGGAGGAGGAGGAGGAGGAGGAGGAGGAGGAGGAGGGAGGAGGAGGAGGAGGAGGAGGAGGGAGGAGGAGGAGGAGGAGGAGGAGGAGGAGGAGGAGGAGGAGGAGAGGAGGAGGAGGAGGAGGAGGAGGGAGGAGGACCCCCTCCCCCTCCAACTTTTGGTGGTGGTGGTGGTGGCAAGCAGACCCATCAAACGTCACGTCCCTCCACGGCTGGCTGAAGGTGCCCCTCAGCCACGACCGCGCCCTGCGGCCCGACGACACGCCCCACGTTGCCCTGCGCGTGACGGCCCACGCGCGCTCCGCGTCTCCCAGGTTCGGCCCCCTGCTGGCCCACTGCGGGGGCCCCGGGTCAGGACGCGAGTGCTCGTGGAACACGATGTTGACCTTCTGGGACGTGGCCGACGACTTCGCGTTCTTCGGGATCGACCAGCGCGGCATCGCGCTGACGGCGGACGTGGACTTCCCCTCGGCACTGCTCGGGGAGCCTGGCGAGGCCGGGGTCAACGTGACCGAGGTCTTTGAGCAGCTCAGTGGCGGGGTCGTTGCCGACCCGCCGTCGGAAGGCACATTCCGTGGTCCAGGCGGGGTTCCGCAGCCGTTCCCTGTGGCACAGTGCGACGAGATCTACGCAAGGCTTGCCAACCTCACTTACCAGGAGCTCAGAGGAGGAAAAGGTACCGATACTGCTACCCTTCGCCCTTTTTCCCTCTTTTCGGCCTCCTGCGAGGTCCTCGTCGCCACCGCTGGATTCGCCTCGAAATTTTGCTCAGCACGCACCCCGGTGTCCGTGCCTCTTGATCTCCCTAGGAGCAGGTGGATCGCGTGCGGCAGATGCTGGCGGAATTTCTGGGAGACGCCTCAGAGCCTTCGGAGGAGGAGGTCGACATCGTCTTTGCCATTCTCAGGGCGGGCGGCGTTCCGTCGGACGGCGTGCACGGCGTCGGGTACCTGAATGAGACCTACGTGCGCTGGCACTATCGGCTGGCAGCCCTGGAGCAGGGCTTGTGCGTCATTGCGCCTCGTTTCACGCGCACGTCGCCCACTGGCCAGGCCTACAACTCCCTGGCCTACGCGGGCACCCGAGAGCTCGTGCGGGACATCGAGCTGTTGCGGCGCGCGGTGGGTGCCGAGACGATCTCCCTCACGGGCTTCTCCTACGGGACGGTGGTCGCTCCAGCTTACGCCACGCTCTACCCAGACCGCGTGGGCCGCCTCGTCGTCGACGGCGTGGTGCCGCCCCAGCCAGACCTGTTGGCCCCCTTCCTCATCCTTCCTTCCTTCTGCTCTTTCTCCTCCTTCGCTTCCTCCGCCTCCTCCTCCTCCTCCTCCTCTTCCTTGTCTCCTCCTCCTCCTCCTCCTCCTCCTCCTCCTCCTCCTCCTCCTCCTCCTCCTCCTCCTCTTCCTTGTCTTCAATCTTCCATCCTGCTCCTCGCCGTCGTCCTTCTCCTCGGCCTTCCTGACGTTCTACAGCAGGGGGATGTTCTCCGCGTGGCAGGGCATTATGACCGACTGCTCGGACTCGGTGTATCGGGGCGTCCCCGAGGAGGAGAGGTGCTCCCTGGCCCCTGGGCCCTCCTCGAAGGTCCTCAAGATGATCCACGACAGGTCGAACCTCACTCGGGCCGCGTCCGTCTCGAACCTCATGACCCTCTCCACGGTGGCCGTGTCGGTGGCCCCGCTGGCCGTTGACATCGCCTCGAGGCTCTACGACGGTGAAGCTCTGCCAGAGTGGTGCCACGAGGACACGCTCGGGCTCTTCTGCGGCGGATCGGACACGAATTCCACCACGACTCCCCGGGACGAGCCCCTCGGTCCCAAGCAGGACCGCTTCGGCGTCACCATGATGGCCGCGGTTTTGGGCCTGGACCTCAGCGGGCGCCTGAGCGAGGAGGCCCTCGTGTCGTGGTGGCGGGGCAGCCTGGAGCAGTTCCCCATCGGCACCGGCCGCGGGGTCCTCCTCGCCGCGACTCTGGGCTCCTGGCCGCTGTACCCGAAGCCGCTGCCGCCGCCCGGCAGCGGGAGCACCCGCGCGCTGGTCATCGGCAACCTGCACGACGCGCAGACGGACTACTCCGGTGCTCAGGCGATGAGGGCCGCGTACCCCCGCGGTGCCCTGATGACCTGGCAGGGGTACGGGCACTGCCTGCCCAGCCACAGCTTCGAGCCCGGCGACAACACCACGCAGATCGCCAACACCCGGTCCCTCCGGCGATGCCTGGGGCAGGTCACCCGCTACATGGCCACCGACGAGCTCCCCGAGGATGGGCACATCTGCGAACTGGACGGCCCCCTCAGCTTCGCCATCGACTACGGCAGTGCCGCTCTGCAGCTGCTGATGCTGCGCTAGGCTTACGATGTTCCAACCTACCTTAGCCTCGACCACCAGAAATAATTTCGAGCACCAGAACAAGTGCCGAAACGCGAGGGCTTTCACGTGTCGGGTCCTGGGAGACACTCGTCCGACACAGTTTCGACGCTGTTCAGAGCGTGAATTACCTACCCCGCTTTCGCTTCCAGGAAAAACCAAGTCATACCACGCGCCTCCTCGTCAAGCGGCCTGACCAGTACAGGCCGTAGTTTGGCATCGTTTGGTATCTCTTGGAAGCGAGGGTGGTCAAAAGCGATGTAGGTCTGTTTTCCCCCTTAGCTGTTTCGGCACTGCTCTTCCGGGTGCTCGGCATGATGTCTGGGATGTGGCCCTCAAGTGCGGCGGGAGCAACATCACGCTGGGCGGGCTCGGGCGCGGGCGCTCCGCGAGAGCGCCCCGGGGCCCCCGCGGGCTGCGGCGGGGGCGCCCCCTCTCGAGCTGCGGAGGGCTTCGGGGCGAGAGGAGCACGCGCGGCCGCCGCGCTGCGCTCGGACCGCCTGCGCCGCGGCTCGCAGGCCGCACCTCGCCTGCACGAATTCGTCATCGCCGCCCTCTGCCCTCCCTCCTGCTCGTTCTCCCCCCCCCCTCCTCGCCCGCTCCGCCTCCCCACCACTCCACTGCATCTCTCTCCCTCCTCCTCCTCGTCCTCCTCCTCCTCCTCCTCCTCCTCCTCCTTCTCCTCCTCCTCCGTCCACCGGCCCCTCCTCCTCCTCCTCCTCCTCCTCCCTCCTCCTCCTCCTCCTCCTCCTCCTCCTCCTCCTCCTCCTCCAGCCTGGCCCTACAGTCCGTGGCGGGCGCCGCCAACAAGCGCGGCACGAGCGGAGCTCTCTTTTCTGCAGCCCGGTTCGCGGAGGGCCCGGGCGCCGCCACCAGTGCGGCGCGAGCGGAGCTCTCGGTTACGGACCTGTTCGCAGGAAGCATCGCGGCAAGCGCCAGAGATTGCCACGCTTGCAGGCGTGCTCGCAGGAAGCACAGTGGCGAGCGCAAGAAAGCCGCTGCCAGTCAAGTGGACCGAGCTGGGGACGAAGATCGACTGCAGCCCCTGCCATTCCGAAGGAGAGACGTCGACGCGGACGGTGTCCATCGTGGTCGAAAACTGTTTGCCCAGCAGCGGCCGATATCGGTTTTGGACAGACTTAGCTGCTGCCCAGACTTTCCGTCCCCTTTGGGCGGGCCAAATAGGACGTGGATATTGGAGGGGGGGCAAGATTCAAGGGGGTCAAGGAGGACTTCGGCAGCGGCCCCGTGGAGGTGCGGAGAAGATACGTGCGCCGATTCACTCCGCCGTTCATTCTCTCTCTCTCTCTCTCTCTTTTTTTTGGTTCTCTCTCTCTCTCTGTCTGTCTTGTTTTCTCTCTCTCTCTCTCTCACCATGCGATGCGCACTTGGCCTGTGCCATGCATCTCCCCCTGCGTCTTCCTCCCAGTCCCGTCCCGCTCTCCCTTGCAAGTCCAGGCAGCCGAGGGGATTCGAAACGCGCGGGGCTGACCTCGACGCGCGCGCTCTTCCCCCCCCCTGGTGCTGGCAGTCGCGCGCCACCCCGCCCCGGCTCGCACGTGCCCTCCTCTTCCTCGTCGCCATGGCCTCCCCCGTTCCACCTCTCCTCCTCCCTCCTCCGCCTCCTCCTCCGCCTCCTCCTCCTCCTCCTCCTCCTCACCCCCTCTCCCCCGTCCCCTCGCGTCTCCTGCCCCCTCTCGGCCTCATCGGCCACCTTCTCTCCGCCCCCCTCCCCCCCCATGCCCCCCGCGGCCACCCTCCCCTGCGAGGGGGCCTGCGGTGGAGACCCGTGCCAGGCAGCACCCCGGTTGCCTCCGAGGGGTGCCCCGGGTTTTCTCCTGAGCCTCGCTGCCCTTGTCGCGGAGAGCGCGACGTGCTCCCGCACCAAGCAGCCCGGGGACGTCCTGGGGCCTCGGGGTGGGGCTTCTCGTGGAGGGTGTCCTGTGGTCGGGCCCCCAGCAAGTAGCGCGCAGTCGCCGGCACAGGAGCGAGGGAGGCATCCCGGTGCGTCCTTCCCTTGGGCCCGACATTCTAGGGTCCGAGTAGAGTTGTGGAGGGCGACCCCTGGAGAGGAAGCATGTTGCCAAATCATTTCCATATATCTGAAACATGTGTTACACATGTTGCAAACATGTAAAACACATGTTTAGAACATTTCCGACATTTCAAACACATTTTAAGTTCAATGATAGGCCTGTTAGAGTGTCCACTGCCATGGCATCCACAATTCTAGGGTCCGAGTAGATGGGTTCGGAGGGTCGCGCAGCATCGCCGATGCATCGGCGGTGCGGCTCGACGTGGAGCCCGACTTGCTTCACGTCGACGGCAGCGATGCATCGCCGACGCCGACGATGCATCGCGGGGGCATCGGCGATGCATCGCCGATGTATCGGCGATGCGGCGCCATCCTCTGGCCCCATCTATTCCGACCCCAGCCAGGATCGGGGGCCCCCAAACGGTGCGGTGACCACACCGTGCGGTGAGTCGGTGGGGATTCGGGGTCACCGCACGGTCTTGGGACTCGGGTCGTTCTCCGAGGACGTCTCGGGCGACAGGGGCCTCCGAGGTCCCAAGACCGTGCGGTGACGGACCGTGCGGTGAGGCCTTCGCGGATCTCGAGGTCACCGCACGGCTTGTCACCGCACCGTTTCGGGACTCCCAGCTGGGAGGCCTGGGCCCTCCCCTTCGCGCGCCAGGGTTCGCGGGGCCCTCGAGGCGCCTGCTGCGCTTCGGGAAGAAGGCGCCGGCGCGGTCTGCCGGGAGGGGTGAGGACGAGGAAGGGCCAGTGTGAGGGCCATGCGGGCGGGAGGAGGAGGAGGAGAAAGAGGAGGAGGAGGAGGAGGAGGAGGAGGAGGAGGAGGAGGAGAGGAGAGGAGAGAGGAGGAGGAGGAGGAGAGGAAAAGGAATCCTCCCTTCCTCCCCTCTCCTCCTCCCCTCTCCTCCTCCTCCTCCTCCTCCTCCGTCTCTTGCTCCTCATCCTCCTTCTCCTCCTCCTCCTCCTCCTCCTCCTCCTCTTCGTCGTCCTCCTCCTCCTTCTCCCCTCTCCGATCGATGGGACATTTAGCTTTCTCTCTCTCTCTCTCTTTTATCCTCCTTTTCCGCCTCAACGTTCTTCTCCTCCCCCTCCTCCTCCTCTTTGTCCTCCTCCTCCTCCTCCTCCTCTCCGATCGATGGGGCAGGGCGGCGCCGACTTCGGCGGCGGCGCGCTGCTGATGGCGAGCGCGCTCGGCGCGTAGGCGTGGCCCCGCGGGGCCGCAGGAGGGCGGCGCCGCGTAGGCGTGCCAGCGGGCCTCTTCGAGCAGTGGCGAGGCCCCCTTCTCAGCAGAGGGCGCCGCGCGTCGCCCGGGGGCGCGTCTACACCTTAGGCGATGCTTAAGAAAACCCAAGTTTTCGGCCAGAGTCTCGATTATTCTTAACGTTTCAATGTAAATCCTAAGATTTTAATAGAAATGTTGGGTTTTTATTCAAGTTCTGAGGCTATGAATTTCTTAACCCATGATTTCTTAAGCATTTCGCAGGGTCTGGTCTTGTGATGCTCCAGCGCACTTTAGCCTCGACTACCAGGCAGAATGTCGAGCGCCAGAAAAAAAAAAAATACACGAAGCTCAAGGGTTTTCACGTGCCGGGCCCTGGGAGGCACTCGCCCGACATTGTCTTTTGACACCGTGTCGACACTCTCTCTTTGACACCTTTCCGGGTGCTCGCAATTATCTCTGGGATGTGGTCCTAAAGTTCTCCCACGAGGGGGGGTCTGAAATGGCTTGTCTTGGAGGGTCCAGGCCCCCTCCCTTTTATTACGAAATCTGGAGTAGGATGCGAGCAACAGAAGTCTAGTCCCGGGGGCGCAGTTTAAATCGCCTCGGGCAGGGGCCTCCGCCTAGCTGGGGGCGCCGCTCTGCGCCCATGGGCGCGCCCGCCGCCCATTTGTCTTGTTGTGTTCTTCTCTTCTTCCATGACTTTCGTATGCTCTCTCTCTATCTTTTCCATCGTTTCCAGCAAGCTCGTCGAGGGGGCGTCCTGCCTCGCCGATGGGCCCGCCAAATCATGTTCTGAGAACCTCTCGTGGTCTGCACGAGGTGTTCTTGGGACATCCCTGGCCGAGTCTGTCTTGGCTGAACACATCGGGCCGATGTTCTAAGAGCACCGTTTTTGTCCTTAGCGCAGGCTTGGGTTCTGAGAACATGTCGTGGTGGGCCTACAGGACTGCCGGGACGGTCGATCCCTGCTCAAGCATCCCCCATCCCACATCGCCTCCCCGCCTCCACCCCTGAGATCCCGGCGCCGCCATTTGCTCCTGCTGGGCGTCTTCGCGCCGTTCCTGGGCCCCTCGGAGATCCAGACCCTCGCAGACCCGGACCCTCGCAGATCCATCTGGCTCGAACTGTGACGCAGGAAGAGGGGGTCCAGGAGCGTGTTTCTTTACAGCTCGGGGCATAATGGGCATGATAGTCCCTTCCCCCCCCCTCTCCCCCCCCCCTATATCGTAACGCCCCTCCCCCCCCAGTGCGCTCTGGGCACTGCCGCCGTGCGCATCGGGCACACGGCGGGGGGAGGCGTTACATTATCAGAATGAGTGGGCCGAACGGTCATTCATTGTCCTTTGGTGCGTGGTTGAATTCTGCTTGTTGCGTTGTTGTTGTCGTCGTTGTTGATGGTGTTGTTGTTGTTGTTGTTGTTGTTGTGGTTGTGGTTGTGGTTGTGGTTGTGGTTGTGGTTGTGGTTGTGGTTGTGGTTGTGGTTGTGGTTGTGGTTGTGGTTGTGGTTGTGGTTGTTGTTGTTGTTGTTGTTGTTGTTGTTGTTGTTGTTTGTTGTTGTTGTTGTTGTTGTTGAACATTATTAATTCTAAAGAATAATTATTGTTGGGACCCCTGGTGCACGGCCCCCCTGCGCCGCCTAGGCCGCAGCTACATTTTCATCATTTTCGTGAGGAAGCCTCAGGTAATACGATGTCATCAAGATCCGGTTGTTTTGTTGTAATCCGCTTTCCCTTGCAAAAAACACTATAAAATGACATTTCTTGTTCTAATATAATCAAATTTCAAGAATCCCTTGCAAAAAATAAGGTAAAGTGGACATTCGCGCGCGCAAGACGAAATCCTTCCAAAAGCTTAGTGTTCGGAGCGATTTTAACATAAAAACATCAAAAAACCAATGGTTTTTCAACAAAAAAATGTCAAAATCTCATCCCGCGCGCTCTTGCGGATTCGTAGGAAACCCAACACTTTTTAAACATTTCTGTCAAACGGGCTTTTGCGAGCAACTTTTTCGAACTTCTGCGACAACGGTTGCGCACCTGCCAGGGCCATCATCCCTGTCAAATAATACCATGCGGGACACATTCGTTTTTTCTTCGCGCGCGCACGCCGAAATCTCCAAAAACCATTGGGTTCTTAAGAATTTTAGCACCGCGCATCATAAAATCACACGAATCGCACCGTAGGTCCTCGAAAAACACCTGCACGACTTTTCAAAATTTCTACCCGCGCGCGCTGTACGCCAGTGTAGTAGCCACGGTCGTCCGCAGGCCACGAAGTGAAGTGTCCGAACGTCATAGGGCGGGAAGCTGGGTGTGGGTGGTGGCGAAGAGTCGTGTGGATATTTGGTAGAGCTTGCACTGCCCCCCCACAAAGTGGGGGTATTGGCTGGCGTCGCATGAAAACCCTGGCACTGGTGAGAACACTGAGCGTTCGGGTAAAGTGATTGTTGTTGTTGTTGTTGTTGTTGTTGTGGTTGTCGTTGTTTGTTGTCGTCGTCCCACCCGCGACCCACCCGCGACCGACCCCGCGACCCACACCGCGACCCACACCGCGATCCACCCCGCGACCTTCCCCGCGACCCACCCCGCGACTCACCCGCGACCCAACCCGCGACCCATCCCGCGACCCACCCCGCGACCCACCCGCGAGCCACCTGCGACCCACCCCGCGACCCGGCCCGAGACCTACCCGCGACCCACCCCGCGACCCATCCGCGACAGCTACCCGCAACCCACCTGCGACCCACCCCGCGACCCACCCGCGACCCACCCCGCGACCCACCCTCAAGGGAGGAAAAACCACCCAGACCCGACAATTGAGTTTTTTCCTAAAACGGCCTTGGGCGTTGCCTGCTCTGTCCGATTCATTCCTTGTGTGCGTTTACTAAACGACTTCGCTTGTCGGGGTAATTATTATGGGGTGGATTTTCTGCCCTCCACACCCGCGACCCACCCGCGACCCAACAGCGACCCACCTGCGACCTACCCACGACCCACCCGCGACCCACCCCGCGACCCACCCCGCGACCCACCCGCGACCTACCCACATTTGTTTAACGAAAAAATCGGCGCCTGCGGCGGGCTCGTCGTATAATTTGTGAAACAAGCTTTGGCGCCTGCGGCGGGCTTCTCCAGAGTCTCGCAAACTGCCGACGTCGCCGCCGCCCCGCCCCTCTTATCCGCATCTGTGGGGTGCTACGTACCCCCCCCGGGGTCCCCCCACCCCACAGTGCCCATTCTCGCCGAAATAAAGGAACGCGCTCCAGGGCTCCCGGCGTGATTTTTCGCGATGTAGCAATTTTCTCGCAAGGTCGGATCACAAGGACTTCCTCACCCTCCTTGCCGGGCGCCATCCCCTTCCAACATCGCCTCCCCTCCTCCGCCTCGCGAAGAGCAAACAACTGCATAAACATAAACGTGTGGAGGTCCGCGCGGATTCATTGGATCTGCGCTGGGACCCCTCTGTCGGCGCCTCCAGCGCCGCCCGTGGCGCGCTCCGCGCGCCAGAGAGGGAGGTCCAGCGCAGATCCACGAAGAAACCCGCGGACCGCCAAAAGTTTATGCTCATGCTGTGTTTGGGTCCCTCTAACCTCCGCGCCCTCCCCTGTCGGGCGCCTCCAGAATGGCGGTCTGAGCGCAAGCCTAGACGTGCAAGCGCATTCTCGAGCCATTGGTTGCGTTGGAAATGTGCAGGCGTCATCTCGAGGCGCATCGATCTCCTTTTTCTCCCGTTCTCTCTCTCTCTCTGTCTCTTCCTTTGCTTCCCTCTCCTCGCCGCGCCCTCCCCGAGCCCATCAGCTCACCCCTCGCATCCCTTTCCTCACCCGTCTCCCTTGCGTCCCCCTGCCCCTCCCTCTCTCCCTCCATCTTCCTCTGCACCCCGGCCCCCGTCTTTCCGGCTCCCCGCTTCCCCTCCCCTTGGCATCGCTCGGACGTGTGCCTTTTTTCCTCGGCGAGGCGGCGAGGACCATCGAGGAGCATCCTTGATCATCTGGCGAAAAAACCACGCACGAAACCGAAAACCACCTAGGGAACGGACGTCCGAGCGATGGCCAGTCCCCTGCTCTCGCGCCCCGGCTTCCCCTCCACCTCCGCCCTCCTCGGCTTCCGCTTGCCCCCCTCTCTGCCCCTCCCCCCCCCCTCGCCCTTTCGCTCTCCGCCGGCCCTGCCCTCGGCTTCCCTCGCCTGCTCCTTCTCCCTCCCTCCCTCCTCCGCCTGGCCCCTCCCCCGCGTCTGGCGGTCGGCTCCACCTGTCGTCCGTCCGCCACACTTTTGCTCGAGGCTGCGTCGACGTCGACATCGACGGCGACCTCCTCGAGACTCCAAAGCGTCCTCTTGCTGATGCTGCTGGTGGGTTTTTTGTTTGTTTCAATTAGGTTCCGCCTCGGGGCCTTCGGGGAAAACCTTCCCCACGTCGCCATTCACGAGCACCCTGCGACACCACGCGGCCGGCTCCACAGCGCCCCATCTCATATCACTTCCTGCGCTGCTCGTGCTCCCTCCCCCTGGCCCCCTCTCTGTGCATCCTCCTGCTCCTCCTCCTCCTCCTCCTCCTCCTCCTCCTCCTCCTCCTCCTCCTCATCCTCCTCGTCCTCCTCGTCCCCCTCCTCCTCGTCCTCCTCCTCCTCCTCCTCGTGGCTCGAGCGCCCCCTCCTCCTCGTCCTCCTCATCCGCACCTTCCTCACATCTGTCATCCACTCGTCCTTGCCGCCCTCGTCCGCCCATCCTCATCCTGTCCCACTTCGTCTCCGCATCCTCCTTGCAGTCAGCCCGCGTAGGAAGGACGGGCAACCTTCCCGAGGGTACCCTTGCATTCTTGCCTCCTCGGTCCATCCTTGGCCGCTGTCGCTGGCCGCTCCCCGCTCGCACAGGGCCTCCCAAGGCCCTTGCACCCTTCTGGTGCGTCCTTGTGCTACGCGTGGACTGTACATCTGACCTGCCCTTCCTGCGGCTGCTCCCCCCCCAACCCTCGCCCAGAGACCCAGACCCCCGACGTCGTGATCTTTTCGCACTGTCCACCCCCAAAGCTCTCGACCCCTTCCCCGGGACTGGTTCCTCGTCCCCAGTCGTTTTTTCTGCCGGCCCTGGGGCCCAGCCAAGGCTTAAGTCGGGCCTGAGCCTGCACAGGGGGGACATCCAAAAATAGAAAAAAATAGTCTGGGGACGATTTTGGTGTATTTTTTTTGTCATTTTGGAATAGTTTTGAGTCTGTTTTATTGTTCGTCGAAGATCTCCCTGTAGGGGGACGCGCCCGATTTAAGCTAAGGCCCCTCGGAGGCCAGACGTAGCGAAGCACCTCGCGCCGCGAGTTTTTCACGACGCGGGGGGGGGGGGGGGCTGGGGAGACGGCCGCGCTCCGCGCGCCGCGGCCGCCCGCGCCGACCCCGGGGCGGCAGGGCGGGGCGGGATTCTCTGCGCCGTGGGCTCCCCGCCGTGCCCGCCGCGCGCGCCACAAATTGGTCGTTCGAAGGACAACAAAAAAACGGCATGCAGTGGAGACCCAGGCCAGGAAACACCGTGCTTGCCTCCAGGTGATGGGCGAGGGTGCCACTAGCAACTGCCACGTGCAGGGGCGGGGGGGGTCCTCCCCCTCCTCCTCCCCCCCTCGTTCTCGTCATGCTCCTCCTCCTCCTCCTCCCCCTCTTCCTTCTTCTGTTCCGTCTCCTCCTCCTTCCCCGCCTCCTCCTCCTCCTCCTCCCCCTCCTCCTAAGCAGGAGGAGAAGCAGGACTCCTGCTCCTTCTCCTCCTCCCTACCTATGGTAGTGGTCGCGGAAAATCAACGCATATTCCAGGGTGCCCTGGGTGTCTTGGGTTTCGATGATTCTATAGGCTTACGCCACATCTGCCGACCCCTATATAAACTACTGCGTCTCCAGGACAACATTTCACGAGGCTTGTCCGAATCATGACACGGCGCTCGGCATCGTTCCTGTTGCTTCGTTGCTGTTATCGTATCTCTTGGTGCTCTTTTGCGGCCTGTTGGTGGCATCTTGGCCTGTCTGCAGGCCATGTCCGGCCGCCTCGCGGCAGCAGCACATTAGCGCCGAGCAAGATAGTGAGCACGTCGCGAGGAAGAGTAAGGCTGTATGCGCGGAGTGCATTGCAGTTGGCTTGACGGCTCGCAATACGGAAGCGTCTGGGTTTTTTTGGGGGGCCTCCTGTGGGCCTCTTGGGGGCTCCTTGGGGCGTGTTGGCGGTCTCTTGGGGGCCTCTGGCAGCCTCTTGGGGCAGTCTTGGGGCCCCCTGGGGCTCGTGGGGACGGAAAGCTAGATTTGTTAATTTTTGGTTGCCCTCTTTGGCCCCTTTTGGTGCCGTCTTGGAGCCTTCTTGGGCCGTCTTGGGGACCTCTTGGGCCGTTTTGGGGCCATCTTGGGCCGTCGTGGAGCCGTCTTGGGGGCCATTTGGGCTGTCTTGGGGCGGTCTTCGGGGCCTCTTGGGCCGTCTTGGAGCGTCGGAAAGCCCACGAGGCGAATTTGTGGAACAATATACGTTTTACGAAGGACATGAAGATGATTTTGCGTCTAGGGACCTTTTTGGGACGCATCGTTGAGGCCCCTTGGAGGCGTCTTGGGCCAGCTGGAGGCCATCTCGGGTGTCTTCGATCGCTCTTGGACCGTGTGGGACCATGTGGAGCTCTCTTGGAAATCACTTGGAGCGCTCCTGGAGCGCTGTTGGCGTCGTCTTCGGGGCTCTCTTGGGCCGTCTTCGGCGCCTCTTGAGCCGTCTTGGCGCCCTCTTGGGCTGTCTGGGGGCCTCTTGGAGGCTTTTTGGACCGTCGTGGTGCGGTCTTGGGGGCCTCCTGGGCCGTCTGGGAGCGTCGGAAAGCCGAAAAGGCGAAATGTTGTGAAACACATGCGTTTTACGAAGGGAACGAGCCAACTTTTTGCGTCTAGAGGCCCTCTTGGGGCGCATCTTGGATGCCTCTTGGGGCCTCGTGGGGGCATCTAGGGCCGGCTGGAGGCCATCTTCGGTGTCTTTGATTGCTTTTGGACCGTCTGGGACCACACTGAGCTCTCTTGCAGGCCACTTGGAGCTCTCCTGGAGCGCTCTTGGGGCCGTATTCGGGGCCCTCTTGGGCCGTCTTGGACGCTTGCTGGGCCGTCTTAGGGCCCTCTTGGGATATCTTGGGGCCCTCTTGGAGGCTTTTTGGGCCGTCATGGGGCGGTCTTGGGGGCCTCGTGGGCCGTCTGGGAGCATCGGAAAGCCAAGAAGGCGAATTTGTGAAACATGTATTTTTTACGAAGGGAATGGGCCAATTTTTGCGTCTAGGGACCCTCTTGGGGCGCATCTTGGATGCCTTTTGGGGCCTCGTGGGGGCCTCTTGGGCCGTCGAGGAGGCCTCTTAGGCCGTCTTTGGGCCATCTTGGGCGTCTTGGAGGGCTCGTTTGGCGTCTCGGGGCCCTCGTGGGCCGTCTTGGAGGCTTCTGGGGGCCTTCTTGGCCGGTCGGTCTTGGGTGCCCCAGGGCCATGGCGCGTTCGGTCCGGGGTGCCCCGGGGCAGGGGGGGGTGTCAAATTTCCGGTTTGGGGTCCACGGGGGGGAACTATCTCACACGCCTAGAGACCCACTAGGGGTCGGCGGATTCTGCAGTGGAGAGCGGGACGTTCCCATACCAAAGTTCAAGGGACGCCCGGCGATCTCAGGGTTGGGTTTGTTGTGGAAGGTTTCTTGTGGTCGAGCCCTTATTGTACATGTTTTGGATCCGCGTGGTCGCCCCCTTGACGGCGCCTCCGACGCCGCCCTTGGCGCGCTCCGCGCGCCAGGGAGGGGGCTCCAGCGCAGATCTAAGAAATCCGCGCGGAACGCCGAAAGTTTAGGTCTGTGTCCCCTGTTGTTCCTCTGACGATGTGCCTGTCGTGGTCAGGACAGGCGCGGGAACTGGATGCGGCCCAGGACTGGCACGCAGATCGTCAGGAAGGGTGCAGAGGAAGAAGACGAATAATAATAATAATAATAATAATAATAATAATAACAAGAATAATAAGACGGAGAAGAAGATGACGAAACATAAGAAACTAATAAGACAATTATCCTGCGAAGGACCCAACCATATGAAGTTGTGGGTGCCGCAATTGTGAATATCTTCTTCGGTGGAGCTCGCTATGGGGCCACGAAGCGCTGCGCTGGGCGGGGGGGGGCGCATGCGGGCAGTAGCACTGGGGCCGTCGGTGAAGCTCCCTATGAGGCCACGAAACGTTGCACTACGTGGGTGAAAATACCACATTCGGCGTGTGGGACGCATGCGGGCGGTCCCATTGGGGCTTCGGTGGAGCTCCCCATGGGGCCGCGAAACGTTGTTAAGGGTTTGTGAACATGCCAAATTGGGTGTGGGCGACGCATGCGGGCGGCCCCACTGGGGGCTTCGGTGGGGCTCCCTTTGGGGCCACGAAGCGCTGTACTGGGCCGGTGAAAATGCCAAATTGGATGTGGGGGACGCATGTGGGCGTTACCATTGGGGGCTTCGGTGGAGCTTCCCTGTGGGGGACGCATGCGGGCGGTCCCACTGGGGGTTTCGGTGGGGCTCCCTATTGGGCCACGAAGCGCTGTACTGGGTGGGTGTAGCTGCCAAATTGGATGTGGGGGACGCATGTGGGCGGTACCACTGGGTGCTTCGGTGGAGCTCCCTATGGGGTCACGAAGCGCTGTACTGGGCGGGTGACAGTGCATAGTCGGGTGTGG